TATGCAATCACAACATGACCCAGCAATTGTACTGTTGGACACAGAAATTAAAAATCTGTGCATACATATTTACTGCAACTTTATTTCTGATTGTCAAATATAACTTATATGTTCTTCAGTGGGTGAATGGCTAAATAAGTTGTGGTACACTGATATCATGGAATGGTTAAGTGATCAAATCCAACGAACTTTCCATGTGTCTTAGTTACTTTCTCATTGCTGAGACACAATACCCAACATACACAACTTAAAGGAGGAGAGGTTTATTTTGGCTCACAGTTTGTAGAGGTTTCAGACCACAGTCAGCTGGCTCCAGGGCAGGGTAACATGGCGGAGAGGCATGGCAGAGGAGAAAGAGCTCACAGCATGGCAACAGGAAGCAGAAAGAGATCAAGGGAGGAGGAGGGATATAGACCCTTCCAGGCCATGCCCCCAGTGACCCACCTCTTTCCACCAGGCTTCGCCTCCCAACATCACATTTAGCTACAAACTCATCAGTGGACTAATACGCAATGAGTGTCATGCCTATGAATATATGAGGCTTTGGAGGGACATCCAGATATAAACCATAACACCATCTCCACTGTCTTAGTTACTTTTCTTGTTGCTGAGACAAAATACCTGAAATTCAAAGTTAAAGAAGGGTTTATTTTGGCTGAGTTTGTAGAGGCTTCTGTCTATAATTGGCCATCTCCAAGTCAGGGTGGCATGGCAGAGGGGAATCACAGAGGAGAAACAGTTCGTGACAAAGCAGGGCAGGCAGAAAGTAGCAAGCAGCAGCCTGCCTCTCCCTTTTATTGCTTCCAGGCTACCTTCTTTTTGGGTGGTGCCACCCACACCCAGGGTGGGCCTTTCCATTATCCACAGAGAACTACACTAAACCAATCAGTGGACTAGTTTAGTAATCATGCACCCTTAATCCCAGCATCACATACTCTAGATCCAGCCATCTCAAAAGAGCCCCACCTATGCCTGCATGAGGCTTTTGGGGGGACATCTAGATACAGGCCATAACACACACCATAATCTGGATGAATCTCCAGGGAATTATGCTGAGCAAAATACACCAATTCCAAAAAACTGTACCCTGTATGCTTCTATTGATACAACATGCTTGAGATAAGAGAACTACAGAAATGGAGAAGAGATGCAGAGTCACCCAGTGTTGGAGACACTAGAGGGAGAAGAGGGCAGCAGGGGCAGGTATGAGATCAAAAGCACGACACAGGGCCTTGGAGGTTGTGGAATAGTCCTAGACCGTGCCTGCAGCAGTGGATACAGACCCAGGCATGTTGCAGAATTGCACAGAACCAAATACCCACACACATACATATACACACATAAACACACATCTATACATATACACATAAAACATGACTATAAAGCACAAGGGACCTGAATAAGATCTGTACATTGTGTCAAAATTGAAATCCCAATTGTGACATTGAACTATAGTTTTGCAAGATTTTACCACTGTGGGAAACCGGGTAAAGTGCATGTGACACTTCTCTATTTTGTATATACATCTGCAATTATTTCAGCATAAGTACTTTGTTTTGTTGCTGTTGTTTTGGTACCAGGATTGAACTCTGGACCTTTCATTTGCAAGGCAGGCAGCGGAACCACTGAGCTAAATCCCTGGCCCACACTTTTTTTTTTTTTTTAAGGAAGAAAACCACTTCATATCTGGAATTCAGGAGTGACTTCAGGTTTTCCTGAGAAAATTTTAACTGCTACAAGGAGCTCCCCACCCTAAATGCCCCAAAATGAGTCTTTAAGAGACATAGTTAAGCCAGGTGTGGTGGCATAGACCTGAAATCCCGGTACTTGGAAGGCTGAGGCAGGAGGATTTTGAATTCCAGTCTGGACTGCCTACTGAGGCCTTGGTGGGGAGGGGGAGAGAAAGGATGAAAACAGAAACAAACCACATGCCATTAACAGGACATTGAATTTTTTATTCTTTTTCACCCCTCTGGAGGAGTTCTAGATCCATACACTCAGTGAAAATGAATAAAAGATAGAGAGTGCTTTCTTCTCAGGGACTGATGTGCTATTTATTGCTCCTGGGTATTAAACACATACACATGCATGGAAAGTGAAAAGGAGAAACTAAAAGCAGGCATTCGGTAGGAAAAGCAGCACAAAGCATTAGTCAATATCTGCTTGATGCAAAACCCCAACATTTTGCTTCTCATTTCTCCTTGCAAAACCTACTAAGATGCACAATAGATTTGAGCAAAGTATAGATTAAAAGCTGACTTTGAACTGTGTGTAGAAGCTTAAATTGGATTTCTTTATGATTTAGGACATGTTAGGTCATTCATAATTCATTGCAAGTGCATCTTCAGATGCTGTTGGAAAAAAGCAGCACTGCCCAGTCTTTTCTACAACATGCAGGAAGTGTTTCCTGTTGACCAAGTGCAAGAGGAGCACCAAGAATGGAAGGAGTACGTGTGGATTGTGCATGCATGTGTGCATTTACACACCTGTGCACAGGTGGACAGGCAATACAGTCTCAGACCCCAAACCTTATGAAAAATCAGTGTGGGCTGAAATAAAGCAGGATCACATACATGTACAATCTCACATTAATCTCAATAAATGTTCAAACCCAGAGCCACATGGCTGCCCTGGCATTCTTAGGGCAAGAAATTGAGTGTCGTAGTGTCCATGGTGGCTCTGAGCCCAGAACTGGTAAAGTTTATCCTACATCTGGGAAATCTGAGCAGCAGAGAGGGTGGAGGTTTGCCCAGAGGTGTGCGCCAGTGGCAAGCCCCCAAGGGCTTTCAAAGCATGCTGTGCAGTCCACATTGCTAAAGCACCACAGGTGCTGTGTTGTGATTGGTTATGTGTCCCTCTCCCCACTGGAGCCTGTAACTCCTCCAGAGCACCAGCCTTGCCTGCTGACGCCTCCACATTCCTGAAGCTAGGCACAAGGTTCACCCAGGACCAAGGCCATATGGATGTGTTGGATGACAAGACTTGACTGAACCTGCTGACCTGTGCTTTTCTGTAAACTCTCTGCCCACAATAACAATACAGCTTGTGCTGGTTATTTATTCTTTGCCTCTCTAGATCCATGCTGTTTCTTTCTACTGTCTGGGGTCCAAGAAGGCTGACCATATTGATGATGCTACCAAGACTTCAGTATCCCCTGGGTTTGATTGTGTTCTGATAAAGGAATGTAGCAATGGAAGACCAGATGGTGGAAGGAGGGAGCGAAGAGAAGTAGGGTTATGCACTTTCAGTGTCCATCTTGGTATGGTGGCACTCTGCTTCTCTACCCAAGGCCACAGGTCTAGGTCCCCCAGCCTCCAGCAATGGGTTCAGGACCAAGGGTCCTAATAGGTCCCATCATTGCCAGTCTGTAAGCACATTACTGCCTCCTGCTCTCTCCTTGGTAGTCATGAGTGCTGTTTGCCAAACATACAGGTCTTTTCTTCTTGGCAATAGAAGGAGCATGCTTCCTGACTCCATCATCTGGTGGGACCATGGGAATATCTTTGGCACAGTTATTAGAGATGCAAGAATCACTAGAGCATTTTCCCCTTCAGAACAATGACCAGCAACATAACAGGGTGGGGAGGGTGGCTGTTCCATTCCTTAGCCTGGACTCCAGAGAGAAGGCAAAGAAATGAACATGAAAGAAAACACAGGACTATTTTACAAATGAGTAGCATGAGCCAAAGGTAAACTAAGATTTGGGGGTTGTTCCTGCAGTGTTATCCAACCTATCAGATCTGAAACAGCATCCTTGACCCTGAACCCTGTAAACAGTCACTCCACTGAACGCTGTTCAGTTCATCTCAGGTAACAATATCTTTTTCCTGCTGACACTGTAAGCAATAAGAGCCCATTTGGGGAAATTTGTAAAGCACAGAAAGTTATCTATAAGCAAATACAATAATTTGAAATTCCACTGCTCAGAGATACCAACTATAAATATTTTGCTGTGTTTCCTTCCCAGGTGTGTGTGTGTGTGTGTGTGTGTGTGTGTGTGTGTGTGTGTACAGGGGAAGATGTGTATGTTTCTATGTATATATACATAATTGAGATCCAATGATAATTAATGCCCTTACAACTTCTTCTAAAAAGGTGAAAATTTAGCAGAATAGTGACAATAAATGCAGCCAACACAGCTTTGACCTTGTTTAATTGAATTGACTGGTGCCCTAGAGACAAATCACCAAGCAGGGCCAAACCACACAGTGATCTGATGGCCATTTCACTGAAGCCTGTTTTTTGCCAGGCTCTGACAGGGGGAAAAAGAATGGAGGAAGCTTTGCCAAAAGAAAATAAAACATCCGACCCCAGGGGAGCCAGCACAATGGCTGCACTGGTAGAAAACAAGCCATACAATGTCAACAAACAGAAAATGAATGGGCCTGTCATGAAGCTGGAATTTGGGAAAGCTCTGGTTTCCAGGCATTTTATGGTGGCAGCAAAGAAACAAGGATAATTCATGTGCATTGTCGGATGAGCTCCTCTCCACTCAGCCAGTTTGAAATGGCACAATGGGAACGTGTTGCATAGGCCAGTGTTTCCAGAAAGCTTGTGAAGCAGGCCTAGCTGAGCCCAGGAAAAGGGACTCGCTATGGCCAAATGTTTATGTCCCCCCAAGTCCACATGTTGAAATCCTAACTCCCAAGGTGACTGATTGGCCTGGCATACGGCATCCATGCCCTTGTAAAAGGGGCCTCGTGGAGCTCCCTGCCCCATGCACATGTGAGGACACGAGGACTGAACATTGTTTGCAAAGCAGAGAATGGGCCCTCACCCTTCATTGTCTGCCAGCACCTTTACCCTGACTTCTCAGCCTCCAGAACCATAATTAACAAATTTCTTTCATTTATAAGCAACCCAGACTATACGATTTTGTTATAGCAGCCTGAGCCAACTAAGACAGCTATAGGTGGATATGTTAGTCAGCTTTTTTTCATCCCCATCCCTGTAACAAAATACTGAGAAAATTAATTGGAAAGGAGAAAAAGCTTTCTTACATTCACAGTTTCATAGGTTTCAGTCCACGTCATTTGACCCCGTCACCACTGGCCATGGGTGAGGCAGAACATTCTGGTGGACAGTGTGTGATGGAACAGAGCTGCTCACTTGATGGTGGCCAGGAACAAAGAGAGACAGAGAGGAAGAGCTGGGTCCTAGTATCCTCTTCAAGGACACGCCCCCAGTGTCCTAGCTTCCTTCCACTGGGCTCCACCTCTTAAAGGCCCCACCACCTCTCAATCACATCACAACCTAGCAACCATTGGACATTTAAAATTCAAGTAACCACAGATATAAACAAGACCTGAATCTGAGTCCTACTCAGCCTCTTCCTGTCTAGCACTTGCAAACATTAAAAGAGTTCACAGAGTCACATAATTATCACAGGATGGGGGAAATTCAAATTGCGTTCTCTCTGACCCCAAATCTGCCAATTGTTTCATGGTGCTGTGATGCCTTCAAAGACAAAGATAACTGTACAGAGAAAAATGTTCTGCCTCTAAGATCAAAAATTGTAGTTAGTATGGCAGAGTCAGAATAGACCAATCCTTTCTCTTCTTTCTGGGTACAGGAAAACTACATTTCCCAGCTTTCCTTAGGGTTACACTGGCCCATGTGACTAGTTTGACTAATAGAAAGCAGCCATAGAGATGCATACATGCCTATGTTTGGACTTAAGAATCTCATGTTGGAGATTTTGGTCTTCCCTTTTCTTCCATATGGCAGAACCATGTTCAAAACAGTTTATTCATGTGTTTTGTGTTGCCATAACCAAATACCTGAGACTGAACACTTGATTTAAAAAAAAACAGGTTTATTTACCTCACAGTTCTGGAGGTCCAAAAGCATGGTGCTGGCATCTGCCTGACTCTGGTGAGGGTCATCTGACCACATCACAAGATGTTGATGGCGTCATAGTGGAAATATGTTTGAAAGGAAAAGATCTCATAATGAGACAGGAAGTCAGAGAAACTCTGGGGTTAGGCTTGTTCTTTTTATAACAATCAGCTGTCATGGGAACTAACCAAGGTCCCAAGATAACTGTATTAGTCTCTTCCAAAGGTGGAGGCCATCATGGCCTAACTACCGTCTGCTGACTCTACATCTCCAAGGTTCTGTCCTCTATCAACATTTTCACACCAAGGACTAAGCTTCTAGTACACAAACCTTTAAGGGACACACTCAAAACATATCCAAATTAAACCACAATACACATGAGAGAGAGCATCCAAATCCTTGTACTGCTGTCTGGGAGATAGCCTAGGGAAGGTACTTGACCCCCATAGAACTGTAATTGAATGGGAAGTTAATGCACACATGCACAAAGACATTAGGCAACTTTTATTCTGTTAAGTTGAAATTTTGGGTTTGTTTGTTATAGTATCTATCATGCACTATCCTGACTAATGTGGTTTAGTACTAGGATAAACACAGAAAAAGTATCATTTGCTGTTACAATATGTGCTAATGTAGCTGCAAGGTAGAAAGACTGGGAAGACGAACATGTTGTGTCCCTACTTACCATATTCTGAGTCCCGCAGGATGTTTCTGAACTGATACATCCACTCATTTAAAATATATTTTGGAGTTCCTGTATAGGGTATCATGTCTAAATTGGGGATTTATTTATTCAGTGGGTGCTCATTGATTCTCTACAGTGACAAGGTATCAGGCATTCTGTTGGGTGACAGGGACTAATAGTATTGGTCCATGTTCTCAAGGTTCTAGGAGACATGTATTCATTCCCCTAGGAAGTATTTGTGCTCTGTTACTACATGAAGACACTGATTTGAGCAATAGCAACTCAATAAAGCCTACACATACTGAAATAGAGCTCAAAAAGAAAGGTATTCCATGGTTCAAACAGAATATGTAAGCAAGGAATCTGACCTCGACTTGGGTGGGAGTGGCATTCCTGGAAGCCACATATGAGCTGAAATGTGGCAAGTGTCAGTTACATAGCTCCAAGGAGGGAGGAAGATACCATCCTAGGAAGAAGAAGCAGCCTGTGAGAAAGGAAGTGGCAGAAGGAAGAATTCTCCATATGAGAGGCCAAGGACATACCACATGGCTGGAATGCACAGCATGGAGAGGGAGAAAGGTAAACTGAGGTAGTAGAGGTGGGCAGTGAGCAGATTACATGGGACTTTATTGCCATATTCACAATCTCTAGCTTTCACCCCTAAAGTATGGGAAGATATCTTAGAGGACTTGGGGTGTGTAGGGAGATGGAGTATTGTGATGTGGTCAAATTTCACTTGCACAATATTGCTATGATGAATGGACCATGGCTACAGGACAGAGAGATCAGAAATAAATCTGCACAACTCCGGAAACCTACTACCCAACAGATGTTTTGTAGAGACATTAAGAAAGTTGAGGAATCCCACACCCAGTAGTGGAAAATTAATTGTTTACACAGGGCAAAATGGAATTGGATTCTTGTTTCAGTGCATTCTGGATGCGATCACAAAATACCATCAACTGGGCAGTTTATAAACAACAAAAATTTATTTCCCTCTGTTCTGGAAGCTGGGAACTCCCAGGCCAAGGTACCAAAAGATCTGGTGTCTGTAAGGGTCCATTCCCGGGCACATGGATGGCTTTCTGCTGTGTTCTCACTTCGGTGAAAGGAGCAAGGAAGCAGCCCCATCCATGAGGGCTCTGGTCCTTGACTAATCACCTCCCAAAGGCTCCCTCCAAATAGCTTCTTCTTGGGGTTTAAGATTTCAACCTTCAAATTTGGAGGAGACAGAAATTGTCCAGCTATAGCACTTCTTTACCCCACTAGGAATGAGAAGTAATTTATACATGGATTTAAAACTGTAGGACAAAGGCAAAAAATTGTAAAACTTTCCCAAAAAATTACAAAAAGGTGTGTTGCCTTTTAGCAAGATATTTTAAATATTTTACAGCAAATAGTTAACACTATAAATTTAAGAAAGTATCAAATATGGATCACATTAGAATTAAGAACTTGTATTCAATACAAAGGTGCAATGCACAAAACATAAAATACAAGTAAATAGGTCTTTGCAAACATATAACCAAAAAGAGTCAATACTCTCGATGCCCAATACCATACACTGCTTATACGCATTAGACAGGATGAGGACAGAAGAGCATCAGGAACTAGGAGGCTGTTGCCACAGTCCCTGAGGAGGGAGGTGGCAGGAGACTGAGCAGATCCATAGGGAGGATATTTAGGGGTAAACTCGGCAGGGGTTGCCAACTGAGTGGCAGGTGACAAATGCAAGGCTGTCAATCACCACTCCTAGGTGTCCAGTTTACACACATGGGTGGGAGCCAGTGTGAATTGGTGCACCAGGCAGAATGAGGACAGGAAAACTGAGGAAGCTGTGGAAGTTCCTGGGGTTGTCCATGGGGTAGAGAGCCAGAGGGAGAAGCAGGCTCACAGGCCTTCAATGAAGAAGGCTCACTCCTTATTTCCCTCGGACACTGTGACAAATTTCGGGGCAAGGAGGGGATGGGAGTAGAACATTTTTTTAAGAAGAAGGTGGGGGCCTTAGGGAGAAAGCATCGTATCTTCTCCATTCATATAAGGCGTTTTTGCTGGAAGTATGGAGTACATGTCTTTGATCTGTTCAGAAGGTTCTGTTCTACTTCTAGTCTCCTGATAGCTTTACCAGGAACAGCTGTAGAATTTAGTCCAATACTTTTTCTCCAACTACTGACAGGATCATATGGCTTCTTCTCTCTGCTTTAAATGTTTGATATAATTTATCAGTTAAAATGTATATGAGCCTGTTGTTGTCATATAGGTAGGTCTTCAAGCTAGGAATATACTTTCTTTAATAGGTGCTATTCAAACTTTATATTTCCTCCAGAGTCAGTTTCATTAATTTGTCTTCCAAGGTACTTCTTAGAAGTTGTCAAATTTATTTCAAAAAAGATTTTTGTAATATGCTTTCTATAGCCTTTTAAATTCTGAAAAATCTGTGGTAATGCCTTCTAGATCTTGATATTGTAATTTTAAAAATGTATAATTGATATGTGTAATAGGAATAAAAGGTCTAAAGGAGCAGGGGAAGTAGGAGGGGTAGGGGAAGGGAAAGAAGGGAAAATAAAAAATATGAGAAAAGGAAAAAAATGGAAACAAAGTCTTTGCAAATAGGGAAGGGTGGAGGGAGTGAAGGGAGGGCAGGGGAATGGGGAAAAAATAAGAACCAAGATACATCCTGTAAAGGTACAAGATCCCAATGATGAATGTAACTGTATTTTATACCTAAAATGTACCAATAAACTTAATGGGAAAAAATAAAAGAAGAAGGTGAGGAGTGACAGTGTGGAAGCAGAAAAGGACACCCCTTTAAGTGGGGGACCATGGATCTGAGTCCATATACAGACAGCAGTTTCATGGGAAGGAGATGGGGAGGGGCAGGAGGAAGTGATGGCTGATCCAAGAGATGAAGGGGAGCCTGGGAGGACAGCTGGGAATGGTTGCTGCAGAAGGAGAGTTCCACAGAGTATGGATGGGCTGTGAGGAACTCCGGAGGGCTATGTGGAGGAGCAAGGGCTGGGGACACACTTGGGGCATGATGTAGTGGACCTAAGAGTGAGCTTGACAGTGCACATAGGTGCAGAGTCCGGGAGGGCATCCTGGAGGGCACTGGGATGGGAGGACCAATGGTGTGGGCTGGTGAAACAGTGCTGGTGTTGGCTACAGCATTTATCCTTGTCTTTTGTCCACCTGGCCCAGGATTCAGCCAAGCAAGACATCTCAGTGTCTGTGCCCCATGGAATGGACACATGGGAGGGGTTTGTTCTGGGGAGCAGCATGGGGGTGACATACCGGGGACCTCCAGCATGGCGGGCTCCTCACAGAAAGGGCTCAGGGATGGAGTAAGAAGAACTGCTGCTGTGCCTGCCTTCACAGAACTTGCCTTCTTACAAAATATTCACTCCTCAAACTCATTCTCATCTTCCTCTTTTCTAGCGGGAAAATGGAAGCTCAGGGCCTGTGGACTAGAAGGGCGCAAAGACAGACACAAGCCCTCCTGACTCCACGCTCCACTGCACAGCCTCAAAGAAAGTTTTTAAATAGCAGACTACTCGGGCTGAGTAAAGCAGGCCAGCATGGCTGCTGCACTGTCTGGGAACAGGCGGGAGGCATCTGGAATTCTATTTTGGAGCCATCCTAGAATGCCCTTCTGTCATCCTCTGCCACCTTCACTGTGCCGGAGATGCTGACATTTATATTTTTAAACCCTTTTTGTCAAAATTAATGCTATCATTCTCAGGTGCAGGATCTTA